CTTAGCTTTAAAATATAATGTATACAGTTTATTTAATCTATTAAATATTAAATCATGAAATATTAAATATAAAATTAACACTAATTATTAAATTATTGAATATTGCCTAGTTGCATTTTGATATGGTTGGGGCTCTCAGGAAGAATCTATTTTTGACACCTCCATCCTTTGTTTCCAGCGAGGTGAACCTGGCCTTCTGGTGCAGGAAACACAACTGGAGAGGCAGCGGACGGAGGTGGGGAGAGAACGGACATTAGAAAAGAGAGTCCTGTTAGCCCAACAAGAAAGGCAGTGCAGCCAAGAGAGGTTAAAGAATGCTTCTGTCCTTGATAGTGCCTTCTGAGCTATTCTTTTTCCTTTACATCACATTCGTTTTAGAGGGTGGAGAGCCTGATAACCACAGAAAAGGGGAGCCTGACACATTCAATTAATTAATGCAAATGAACACATAATTCATCCAGAATATTTTTCTTGTTTATTTATATAGAATTCTTTTACATTAAGCTCTCATATGGAAAGTGGTGAAATATAGTGTAAAAAATACTGGGACATTTTCAGATATAGCCAACATATGAATTTGTTGTACTTGACGATACTGATGTGTTACAAGGGAGAGCTTTAATTTCTGCTGGGTTGTGAGGTAGGAGTAGATGAGTAGCCATAGTGATACAAAAACAAAGAATGTCATTTAAATATTAAAAAACTTTACAAAAGGAAACCTAAAAGGAGACACAAACAAGCAGGACAGTATTGGTAACATCTTGTTAAATTTAATACACAGATTAAAAAAAAATAAGCAGTACATAATAGGAATTCAAAATTTTATATACAGTTGCTTTCTGTTGTTCTTTATATGTTGAAATATTCTTATTTATTACAGTCATAAAAGTTATTTTTTTTTAAAGAATCACTGTACCTAGAATCATGAAATGTTGTTTAGTTGTGTCTAACTCTTCAAAACCCCATATGGGGTTTTCTTGCAAAGATAGTGGAGTGACCTTAGCTTCTGGGATAAGAAGTCACTATTTGACAAAAACTACTAGGAAAACTGGAAAACAGTATGGCAGAAATTAGGTATAAGCCAACATCTTACACCATATGCCTAGATAAGGTCAAAATGGGTACATGATTTAAACATAAAAGGTGATACCACAAGCAAATTAGGAAAGCAAGAAATAGTTTGCCTTTCAGATTTTTGGAAAAGGGAATGACCAAGTTATAGAGAGCATCATGAGATGCAAAATGAATAATTTTTATTAGATTATATTAAAAAGGTTTTGCACAAACAAAACCAATGCAACCAAGATTAGAAGGAAAGCAGAGAGCTGGGAAATAATTTTTACAGCAAGTGTCTCTGATAAAGGCTTCATTTCTCAAATATATAGAGAAATGAGTCAAATTTATAAGCATACAAGTCATTCCCCAATTGATAAATGGTCAAAGGATATGAACAGGCAGTTTTCAGATGAAGAAATCAAAGCTATCTACAATCATTTGAAAAAATTATATAAATTACTATTGATTAGAGAAATGCAAATTAAAATAATTCTGAGGTACCACCTCATATCTATCAGATTGACTAATATGACAGAAAAGGAAAATGATAAATGTTGGAGAAAGTGTGGGAAAATCAGGAAACTAATGCACTGTTGTTGGCATTGTGAACTCCTCCAACCATATGGAGAACAATTTGGAACTATGCCCAAAGGACAATTAAACTGTGTGTATACCCTTTGATCCAGCAGTACCACTACTAGGTCTAGAGATCATAAAAAAGGGAAAAGGACCTACATGTACAAAAATATTTATAGCAGCTCTTTTTGTGATGGCCATTTTTAAAATTGGAAATTGGGGGGATGCGCATCAATTGGGGAATGGCTGAACATATTGTAGTATATAATGAAATGGAACACTATTTTACCATAAGAAATAATGAGCAGCACATGTTTTTTAAAAAAAAAATGTTTTCACATGCAACTGGGAAATAAGAAATACAGGAAATGGGGTACAGAAGTCTATCCTACTCTACAGGAAAATAGAAGGGGAAGGGGATAAGAGAAGGGAGGGGGGAGAGATAGAAGAGAAGGCAGACCAGGGGAAGGGGTATTCAGAATGCATGCCATCTTGGGGAGGGGGGAGGGGGGAGAAATTTGGAACTCAAAAACTTGTGGAAGTGAATATTGAAAACTAAAAATAAATTTATATTAAAAAAAATTAAAAAAAAAAAAAAGAAAGAATGAGCAGGATGATTTTAGGAAAACCTGGAAAGACCGATGCAACGTGAAGTGAGCTCAGGAGAACATCGTCCACAGTAACAGCAACACTGTGTGATGATCAAGTATGACTGGCTTAGCTCTTCTCAGCAATGCAATGATCGAAGACAATTCCAAATGATGGATGATGGAAAATGCTATCCACATCCAGAGAAAGAACTGTTGGGGGTTCAAATCCTCCCTGACATTTACTAGCTGTAAAACCATCAGACAGTCACTTTTAGTTCTGTCTTCTGTAAAATGTGAATAACATCTATATTCTCAACTTCTCTGGGTTGTTCAGCTAATGTGAGAATATGTATATTATTCAATTGTTTTAGTCACGTCTGACTCTTTGTGACCCCTTCTGGGGTTTTCTTGACAAAGATACTGGAGTGGTTTGCCATTTCCTTTTCTAGCTCATTTTACAAATAAGAAACTGAGGCAAACAGCATTAAGTGACTTGCCCAGGGTCATACAGATAGTAAGTGTCAGAGGCAGAATTTTAACTCATGTCTTCCCGAATCCAGGCCCAGTGCTCAATCCATTGTGCCAACCAGCTGTCCAATGTATACATTACATGTTACAAATCCCTCTATTTCTCCCATATATGAAATAATATTTTTAAAGACAAAGAGAAAAAGAAAAAGAAGAGAAAAATGAGCACAATCAATCAACATATTGAAAAAGTCCAAAAACAAGGGCAATGGTGTATCTCCTGTGGATGTCCCACCTCCAAGAAGGGGTAGATTGGGAATGTCTTCTCATGTCTCTTCCTTGAGTCACGCTTGATCTTTATAATTTTTCCAAAATTTATTTTTTTTTTTATGTATTGGTGTTCTTTCCATTTACATTGTCATCATTGTCCATATTGTTTTCTTGGTTCTATTTACTTCACTCTCCATCAGTTCATGTAAATCTTTCCATGCTTCTCTGTATTCAACATATTCATCATTTCTTGTAGGACAGTAATATTCCATTACATTCACATACCACAATTTGTTTAGACATTGATCTCTCAATTAATGAGCATCTACTTTGTTTCCCATTCTTTGCTACGACAAAAAGTGTTGTTATAAATATGCTGGTGTATACAGAGACTTTCTTCTTATCAATGGCTTTCTTGGGGTTTAAGCTCAGTAACAGAGTCTCTGATTCAAAGAGTATAAACATAGTCACATTAGTAACTATTTTTTTAATCACTGTATTTGTATTATTCCAAATTTCTTTCCATACTGTCCTCTTTCCATTGTTAAGCTCTTTTTCTTTTTTTTATTAATTTATTTTTAGTTTTCAACAATCACTTTCATAAGCTTTTGAGTTTAAATTTTCTCCCCCTTCTGCCCATCCCCCTTCCCCAAGACGGTATGCAATCTGATATAGGCTCTGATACAGCCTATATGTTCCTATTAAACATATTTTCACATTAGTCATGTTGTAAAGAAGAATTAGAACCAACAGGAGGAGCCACAAGAAAGAAGAAAGAAAACAAAACAGAAGAGAAAAAAAAGAGCAAATAGTATGCTTTGGTCTGCATTCAAACTGCATAGCTCTTTCTCTGGATGTGGATAGCATTTTCCATCATGAGACTTTTGGAGATGTTTTAGATCCTTGGACTGGTGAGAAGAGCTAAGTCTATTAAAGTCAGTCATCATACAACATGGCTGTTACTGTGTACAACGTTCTCCTGGTTCTGCTCACTTTACTCAGCATCAGTCCATACAAAGCTCTCCAGGTTTTTCTGAAGTCTGCCTGCTTATCATTTCTTGTAGCACAAGAGTATTCCATTACATTCATATACCACAATTTGTTCAGCCATCCCCCAATGGATGGGCATCCCCTCAATTTCTAATTCTTTTCCACCACAGAAAGAGCTGCTATAAATATTTTTGTCCTTTTCCTATTTTTATGTTCTCTTTGGGATACAGCCCTAGAAGTGCTATTGCTGGGTTATTAAAATTCTTTTTCTTCTTATTATTATTATTAATTTCTTATTATTATTAATCACCCTTGGAGCTGGGTGATTAATAAACCCCGCAAAAAACTTCACATGGCTTATAGCAGCACTATAGTGTTATTAAATTGGCCTTAAGTCAGACTGGCAAAATTGAGTCCAGTGAAAATTGTGATCTTGCTGCAGTCTGAATTTTTTAGGAAACATTCATTTCATGACAAGTCAAGATGATTCCTGTGCACATAATCTACCACTCTGTAGTCATATCCATGAAAAATGAAAACAGGATATGGGCAGGGAGAAGATTGGGGATGGTGTCTAGACTTCTAGGGTCACTCATGACTAATTATGAATGCAACTCTTGGAAGCTGCTTTTATTGACCTCATAGCACAAATCCATCACAGACAAGTCACCAGTGTTTTTTGTCTAAGATCTCAGGCAGCTCAGCATAGGGACCCAGCACATTAAGTACCTCCAAGTTAATATGGGGAAAACACAACTTCAGATACAAAAAGAAAAATGAAAGTTATGATACTCTTGCCTTTAGACTTTTTGCTCAAACTATTCTTTTCACATGATATGCGCTTTTCCAATCCAATTCCATTTACCTAAGTACTATCTATATATTTACATGACTTAGATGCTGAATTTTTTATATATACATGTATATCAGAATAGATAAATGATTTGTGTGACAAAATTATCCCTGATAAGCATCATACAAAGTCACCTCAGGAAAGAAATATCACTAACAACTGGGGAGGGTGAGGAAGGGGATCTTGGAAAGACTTACCAAGGAGGTGGCTTCTGAGCTGATCCTTAAAGACAGACAAGGTTAGGAATACCTTTCAGGCATGGAAAACAAATTGTGCAAACAGACAGAGATTGGAGATGGCATGTTTAGTCCACCGAACTTCTAGAAGGCCAGTTTATCTGAAAGATAGTGAGTTTAAAGAGAAATAATATGAAATAATGATGGAAAGATAGATCAGAACAAGATGGTTGAGGGTTTTAAATTCCAAGCTGAGGAGTATGTAATTTTATCCCAGAGGCAATAGTAAACTAGCATTTTTTTTTTGAGGAGCAAGTGGCATTTTTAGGTCCTTTTTCAGAAAAGAAAAAGATTTTGAAATGAAAAAAAAAATGTAGGACTCCCTTTTTTGTCCAAAGCATCTCTCTCTCTCTTTTTCTCTCTCTCTCTGTCTCTGTTTCTCATTGTCTCTCTCTGCAGTAGTCTTTAGAATCTGTTAGAAGTTGGCAATGAATATTTGCTCTTGGGTTCTTTCTGAAATGAGGTCAATTATTTCATCAGGAGGGAGTCACAAAACCTGGAATTGAGTACTGGCTCTACTACTTAATTGTGCAACTTTGGTAAAGTTAGTTGACCTCTCTCAGGCTCTGTTTCCTCACCTGCAAAACAAGCATAATAATACTTGTACAACCTACTTCACAGAATTATGATGATTAAATGAGAAGGTCCATAAGGGTGCTAAGCAAACTTTATTGCGATATAAAAGTTATGGCACGTAGATGTATCTCTGTAAACTCATTATCACCCTCCCCACAGCTAGGCTTCTTTAAAATATATGGAAATGACCTTTATCCAAAATACTGAGTGTACTGACTGATGTAATACTGCCCTTAAAGTAAAAAACAAAAAGGAGACCTGTACTTAGAGGTAAGAGTTTCAATCTTAATTTTATAGCACAAGGTGCCTTAAAGTTATTTCAAAAAAAAAAAAGGAACATTTTAACTTTTTTCTTCACGTCTAGGCCAAATTTTTTACCTTTGTAACATTCTTCCCCACCTACATATACCATTTTTTCAAGCACACCTGGCACGGAAGGCCAGCATACATTTTTAATGTTGTGGTAGTAGGGTGTGTACGTGTGTGTGTGTGTGTGTGTGTGTGTGTGTGTATCCATCATGCGCCTGCATGACTAAGTGTAAGCTCCTGGTATTTCGAATCAGAGATCCTGGGTTCCCATCCTGGCTATGCTGCCTGAGTAATCTTGAGCAAGTCACATTCCACTCCTCAATTTCCTTATCCAAAAAAAAATGAGAAAGAACTAGATTATTGGTTCTTAACTTGGGGTTCAAGGACCTCTTGAATAGATTTCAGCATCCCTGAGCTTAGATGGGAAAAATATATTTTAATTTTCACTAATATTTAACTAAAATTGAGCATTTCCTGAGGGTAAGCTACAAACTATTTTGAGAAGAGGTCCATGTTTCACCAGACAGCTAAAGCAGTGCATGACACAAAATGACTAAGAATCCCTAATATTAGATGATCTCTAAGGTCTCTTCTAACATGGCAAAATGGATAAGCCAGGTCCCGATTAGTGAAAACCATGGATTACCCTCAAGTACTCTCATTTTTTCATGTTTGCACTATTTGAAGTTATAATTATGTAAAATAGGATAACTGGTTCCAGCGCAAAGGAAATATGGAGTGTGCTTTCAAATCAATCAATAAACATTTATTAAATGCCTACTATCTGTCAGGTGCTAAGTGCTGGGGATACAAAAAGAAGCAAAAGACACTCCCTGACCTCAGGGAGCTCACAATCCAATGGGGAAGAAAACATGCAAATATATACAAAACAAACTATATACAAGATGAATAGAAAATAATTAACAGAGAGAAAGCACTGGAATTAAAAGTGGTTAGGGAAGGATTCTGGTAGAAGGTGGGATATTAGTTGGGATTTAAAGGAAGCCAAGGAGGTCAGTAATTCAAGTGGAGGAAGGAGAGTGGTCCAGGTATGGGGGCAGCCAGAGAAAATGTCAGGGGCTGAGAGATGCATTGTTTTGTTCGTGAAATAGCCAGGAGGCCATTGTCTCTGGATTGAAGATTATGTGTTGGGGACTAAGGTGTAAGAAGACCAGAAAGATAGAGGGGGTCTAGGTTCTAAAAGGCTTTAAATGTCAAAGAGAGCATTTTGTATTTGTTCCTGGGGGCAACAGGAAGCCACTAGAGTTTATTAAGCAGGTGGTGGTGACATGATTAGACCTGTGTTTTGGGAAAATCACTGACAGAGAGACCCATTGGCTATTGCAGTAATCAAGGCATGAAATGATGAAGGCCTGCTCTAGACTGGTGGCAGTATCAGAAGAGAGAAGGGAGTATATTCAAGAGATGTTACAAAGGTAAAACTGGCAGGCCTTGGTGACTTCTTGGATATGGGGGTTGTGAGATAGTGAGGATTCCAGGATGACTCCTAGTTGGGAGCCTGAGGGAGTGGGAGGATGGTGTTGCCTTCTACAGTAATAGGAAAGGTAAGAGGACAGAAAACACGTAGGGTTGGAGGGCCTGATCTGTAGGACATAGCAAAGGAGACTGAGAATGAGTGATCAGAAAGGGAGAACCAGGAAAGAAGAGAGTATTAAGGAGGTAAGAGTGATTTACAGTGTCAAAGGCTGCAGAGAAGTGAAGGAGAATGAGTCATTTCAGGGGATTCATATTTGCACTAATGTTGACTTAGCATAGAATGATAAGCTTGGAGTTTGGAACAGGTGTGTTCATATCCTGCCTCTGATATGAGTTGTGTAAACATGAGCAAGTCACAACTTTTCTGCACTATATGAACTTCTTACCTAGTTCATAGATTTATTGTGTGGCTCAAAGGAGATACGCATGTAAGGCAATCTGCTAATGCTCAGGTGCTACATCAATGTCAGTATTCCAAATTTAAATCTATATTATACCAGAGGAAGATTTCATTAAAAGGAAACCAAGCAGCATTCTATAAGAACTTATAATCTAAGGTCTTAGAGACCCCACAGCCTGTATATCCCAGCATCCCCTAGAGTCCTAGTGTTTGTAAAAAGTCTTCTTATCCCTCTGAGTATAGCTTCCTTTTAGGAAGTCACCTTTCTCTCATCCCCTTCCCGAGGTCACTGCTGGTTTGTATTCTGCTGAACCTAGGCAATGATCTTTCTTAGCTATCCAAACTATCCCAACATCTTTCCTTGGGTACTATGGGAGGTAATGAGGAAACCAGAGAATTCATATTCTAGACTAGCACACTTTTAGCAAAGCTAGGAATTTCTCCCTATTGAAGTGTGCATGTTTTTTGCCTACAGTTTTCTAGGCACAACCAGGGGCAAAGTTTTTGTATCACCTTCAGCCAAGTGTGTACCAGTAAATGTTTAACAATTAGCTCTCCCGTCTTGGGTGGGAGAGGAGCAGAGGGGGAGAGGGAGAAAATTTAAAACTCAAAATCTTATAGAAATGAATGTTGAAAACTAAAAGTAAATAAAGTATCAAAAACCAAAAACAAAAAATCAACTAGTTCACAAAACAGGCATGTTACACTTCTAAGTTTAATCTGCATTATTAACATTTTCTCCATAACTTTCTTAAGCTTACCATAAAATAAATAAATCAAGCCCTGAGTTGTAGCACTTGCCATTTCCAAAGTGTAAATGTTCACAATGAAAATTTAACAATCTGGGGCAGCCAGGTGGCCTAGTGGATAGAGCACAGGCCCTGAAGTCAGAAGGCCCTGAGTTCAAATTCAGCCTCAGACCAAACACTTGACACTAGCTGTGTGACCCTGAGCAAGTCACTTAACCCCAATTGCCTGAAAAAAAGAAAATTTAACAATCCAGCTGAGTCAAGCTGTCTCCAGCACACACCCTTTCCTTCAACCTTTGATTCCCTTGGAATCTCTTCTGCATATTAATCTTCAACTAAGAATATTTTTTGCAGAGGGTTATACAATCACTGTTTTGGAGTTTGCTCTTTGATGCACAGAGGTTCACCCAGAAGATGCATTTTTAGTGTTACTCTCAGAGTATGCCCCACTACCAAAACTTGTCCCTACTTTGAGGACAGTGGTATTAGATCTGTCTTAAACAGAAGGTAACTAAAAATTCACCTCCAATCAAAGGTAGAGTGTTGCTGCAAGGAACCAGAAGATATAACTACAAAGTGTATAAAATACTTGGGGCTCTACCAACCAGACACATATACAGAGGAATTACACATGAATACAACTGTCAATCAATAAACATTTATTAAGTGCCTACTATGTGCCAGGCATTGTGCTAAGCACTAGCTAAGTCTTTAAAGAAATAGATTCAGACCTAAGTAGATAGAGAAATACTGATTACTCACCAGTAGGCTGAATCAATGGGCAGCTAGGTAGCACAGTGAATAGAGCTATCAAGTCTGGAAACAGGAAGACTCATCTTCTGAGTTCAAATCTGGCCTTAGACACTTATTAGCTGTGAGATCCTGGGCAAGTCACTTACCCCTGTTTGCCTCAGTTCCTCATCTGTAAAACGAGCTGGAGAAGAAAATGGCAAACCACTCCAGTACCTCTGCCAAGAAATCCTCAAACAGGATCAGGAAGAGTCAGGACTAAAAACAACTGAATAATAGGCCAAGTCAATATAATAAGAATGACAATAACTACTCAAATTAACCTACTTATTCAAAGCCATACCAATCAAACTACCAAAGGATTATTTTGTAGAACTAGGAAAAAACAATACTGAAATTCATCTTGAAGAACAAAAGGTTATGAGTCTCACAGAAATTAATGAAAAAAAAAAGTGAGAAAGGGGCCTAACAGTACTAGATCTCAGAGAAGTAATGATCTATATTACTTGGTACTGGTTGAGGAAGACAGAAGTTATTCAATGGAACAGATTAGGTATACAACATACAGAAGCCAATGAACTTCGTAATCTATTGTTTGAATAACCCAAAGACCTCTGCTACAGGTGTAAGAACTCACTAACTGATAAATACTGCTGACAAAACTGGAAAACAGACTGTCAGAAACCAAGTATAGACCAGCATCTCGAACCAAATATATGCAAACAGGATACATCCAGGATAAATTGGAGATAATCAGAGGAAAGGCACTAGCTTTAAGGGGAAATGGGATTTTATCTAAGACTTAAAGGAACCAAATGGAGTCACAGAGAGTGGGACACAACTGAAAGGACTCAACAACAACAACACAAAATAAAGGAAGAAAGCAAGGAAAAGCAAAAGGCAGAGGTGGGAAGGGAGAGAATTCTGAGAGCATTTGAGGCATCAGAGAACGCCACTGAAAATGCTAGGAGTCAGGAGATGCAGTGTTTTGTGCAAGAAACAGCAAGGCCAGTATCAATGGACATCAGAGTTAAGGGAATAAGCAAGATGCAAGAAAATTGGAAAGGTAGGAAGGGGTCAAATTATAAACGTCTTTAAAACCCCAAATAAGGATTTCATATTTGATTCTAGAGGTGATAAGGAGCCAGGAGGGCTTACTGAATAGGAGGGTGACATAGATTTAGGAAGATTTCTCTGATAGCTGAGTGGAGGATGGACTTGAAGCAAGGAGACCATCCAGAAAGCTACTGCAATAAGTCCCAGCACAGGGTGCTGAGGGCCTACATAAGGGTGGTGGCAAAGTCACAGGAAAATGATACAAGAGATGTTGGGAAATTGAAATTCATAGCCATCTGGTTATCAAGGGTCAGAACCTGGATGGGAAAAAAAATTACATCTTTATTTTCACTGACTTCTAATTTAGCATTTAGCAACCCAAAAACACAGTAGTATTGATGAGGGTTGAGAGGTTGGGACCCCTCAAAAAACCAAAGTACAAAATGGGTTGTCTGGAATGAATTCACAGACTCAAGCAATCTTAAGCCAAGGTGGCAAAGCTTATTGTTACGCTTTTCAGCGGGCAAGGATTCTTAAGGATTCCTGCAACCTTAGAGAGGTACAGGTAAAGTTTATATAGGATAAAATGCAATAAAACATGTGTCAAATATGCTAAGTGATTCAGGGAGGGATTAGGGAGTGGTTAAGGAATGGTCAGTTCTCAATTGAAACTCAAGATAAGAAAAATCCCATTATTCAAGAGAGTATCTGGTCCCAGACATCCTGGGCCCAGTGATAACAAACAGGAAGAATACCGATCAGCTCTTTCTGGTCCTGGAATTTGCTTGACACAGGAAGGAGTGTTTTTAGTTCACTCAGAGAGGAAAAGATTAATTTAGGTTTTTGGCCCTTATTGGGGCTCAATTGATCTTAAGTGATTATCAAGGGACAGTGTTTCTGAGGCTAGGGAGAAATTGGGGTCCGAGTACAAGCACCCAAGCATAAGCACCCAAGCACCCCAACAGTATTAGCAGTACTTGTGACTTTCACTAAAAGATAAAATTATTTTCATGTCATATTATAGTTATTACATATATATTTGTACTTTGAATTACTAGTTATTAAAACCTTTGATGACTATATTCTAAATGTTTTTTAATTTATTAATAAAACAGATTATTGTATCAAAATTTTTAAAAATGTTTTGATAGCTATATTTCAATATCATTGGTTCCCTTTGTAATCCTATGCATTTAAAAGCCTTATTCGAGAAGGGGTTCACAGATGCTCCGGACTGTCAAAGGACTCAAGAGAACACACACAAAGAAAGTTGAGAAGCTCTGCTGCAGCAGGTTACTTTCTACTGCTAGGTTTCCAATCTGTTTTTTGGTCCTCATAATCCGATTTGGCTTCCAGTAAACTTTCAGTTCAATTCAATGAACATTTATTCATGTTCAATGAACTACTAAGTGCCAGGTATTTTGCTAAGCACATAATTATAGATTTGTTAATCCTATTCTATAGAATTAGATAAATGTTCTCCATTAGATTGTAATCTCCATGAGGGCAGGGATTGTCATTTGCCTTTTTTTGTATCATCAGAGATTAGTGTAGTGCCTGGCATTTGGCAGTTGCTTAATAAATGTTTATTGAATTGAACTGAAAGTGTACTGCAAGTCAAATCCGGGTATGGGGGACCAAAAACAGACTGGAAACCTAGAGTAGAAAGTAATTTACTAGGTATTATAATTATATAACATACCTAATTATATAATAACACTTTTAATTATAATTATAATACATTTTGTAATTATAAATTGATAATAAACATAGTATAGTTGTGTTGTATATTAAAGTTATTGCATATACTATATATTAAAATTGTTGCATATATTTATACATTATTTGGGCAGCTAGGTGGTGGTAGGGTGGCAGGGACCTACAGTACTGGGCCTGAAGTCAGGAAGGCTCCTCTTGAGTTCAAATTTGAACTCAGACAGTTACTAGCTGTTAGAGGGCAACTTACTTAGTCTCAGTTTCCCCATCTGTCGAATGGGCTGGAGAAGGAAATGATAACCCATTTTTTTTTTGGCCAAGAAAACCCCAAATGGGGTTACAGAGTTGGAGAAGAGTGAAACAACACACAATATTTATATTTACACAAAATTAAATGTAACATATGATAATCTACAATTCCTATGCCTTCTATTCAATATAAAAGGAAATAAAATTAACTAGCTTTACATCTCGATTTAAGATTTGTAAAGCCCCCTAGAATATCTCATTTGATCCTCCTGCAAGGCAGATGCAATTATTATCTCCAGTTTACAGATGAGGTAAACTGAGGTACACAGCAGTTAAGTGACTTTTGGGAGCAGGGCTGAGGAGGGGTCTCCCACAGAAATCGCGTTGATCATTCAGAGGCACATAAGAAACGAAATAAAGCTTCACAGACTTCAATAGGCGGATGCTGTTTTAGACTAAATAGCGGCGGGCCCCTCCCGGGCAGGCTTCGGGGACCCCAGGGCGGGACCGCCCCCGCCCCGCTGGGAGCGCGCCAGAGGACATTACGTGGGCCCAAGGGTGAGCTCGTTCCCTGCCGGCCTCGCCCTCTGACCCGGGGAAAGGACGGAATTACGCTCCCCTCCCCCAAATCCTCGGGAGGGATCGCGGGCGCAGAACTCAGATTTCCGGTCGCGGGGGCCTGGGCCGGACAAGTTCGGGATTCGCGGGGCGGCGAAGGGCCTCGGCAGTCACCCTCCGCATCCCAGCAGCCCGCCACCACGCACGCCTAGGGAACCCGAAGGGCCGCCGGCCCCTCCGCAGAGAGAACTGGGAGTCGGTGCCGAGGGGGCGGGGTCCCAAGTGGCCTCCAGCGATTGGTCGCTGCCATTGCGGGGCGGGGCCAAGGCTCCGGCTCCGCCCCCGCCCGCCTTGCGAGCCTGCGTGCTGTAATGGCTGCAGCGGCTGCAGGGGAGGGCTGAGGAGGGGCCGGCGGCGGGGCTGCGAGGCCGCCCCCTGCTCCTCGCAGGAGCCTTTAAATTTCTGGGGCCGGCCAGGCGCGCCACCTCGGGCGCTGTGCAGCTGTGGGGAGGCGGAGACTGAGGCGGCTGCGGCTGAGGAGCGAAAAGCGAAGGCAGGAGCCGCCGCCCCCGTCAAGTCCGTGCAAAGGCCGCCGCTGCTGCTGCTGCTGCTGCTCCTGCAGTGCGATCCCAGAGGAGCGTCCGGCCCGCCGCCCCCGGGTAAGCTCCGAGGCGGGCTGCGACGGGTGGGCTGGGACTACGCCTTCCTTGGCCCAGCCCCTCGCCCCCAAGCCCAGTCCAGCCTTGCCTTGTACCCCGGGATCCCCAGCCCAGCTTTATCTTGCAGCCCTTCGCCCAGCCTTGCCTTGCCTTGTACCCCAGCGCCTCCAGCCCAACTTTACCTTGCAGCCCCTCGCCCAAGCCCAGTCCAGCCTTCCTTCTACTCCAACGCCCCCAGCCCAGCTTTGCCTTGCATTCTCGCCCCCACCTCAACCTTGCTGTGCATCCCCTTGCACCCATCCTAGCCCCTGCAGCCCCCTCACTCCCAGGTCAGTCTGGACAACCACGCTTCTAACATTCCCTTTGGAAGTCCTGAGACTTCCTACCTCCATCCCCGCCTCTCTCCAGCCACCTCAACTTTAAGTGTGAGAGATCCCAACGTCCTCTACTTTTATTTCCTCTCCCCCTTTACCCATTTTGCATACAGCAAACCTTACAAATTTCTCCACCCCCTTGCACTCGGGAGCATATTGTTTTTCTTAAAGAGCCCCTGATTGCCTTCTGTTCATAACCCCTTTTGTTTCATTTAAAAGACCTTTTGCAGCCTGGGGGAGCTACTTTCTCCATTTCCTTTTGTTGCCTTCCCCTCCCCGGGGAAAAAAAAACAAAAACCAAAAAATCTTAGAAAGCCCTGAAGCCAGTTGAGTATCTCAGTTGCCAGATTAGCTGATTTGGCCTCCTGTACTTTGCTCTGGAATCTGTGTACCCCCACCCCCCTCAAATGAGCTGTAGTTGAGTTTCAAAAGAGAGGATGCATCCTACCTCTTACTGAGGAAACCCTGTTGTGAAAATTTGGAGACTCCCATATTTTTGGTAGGAGGAGAAAGTAGAAATTCTGGAGCCCGGAAGAGAGAAAGGAGTTTCTAAGAGAGGACTGCTTTCAATGCAATAAATGGCCTTTAGATCCACGTACAGTGGGTCCATTAACAGACCACTGTGTGGGTCTTTTCAGTTTCTTCAATTCCCCTTAGAAATGGAGTACAGTAATCTGTTCTGTCTCTTCAGGACGGTTCTGGGAATGAAAGAATTTACTGTCTGCCCTGGGATTTAGTAACCAGACTAAAATAAACAAGTCCTAGCTATGTGTGAATTGCAAGCAAGTAACCTAGTGATGAGATTAGTTAGATTTTTATCCCACTCTTCTATTTCTACTTTAAAATATATACCTAACTGGTGAAATTCTCAATATTTGCCTTAAAAAGAAGGGAGAGGGAAAGTAACAGTTGGTAAATGAATATTAGGTTTGCCTATGGTTTTATGTCATAGTACTAAAAAAAAGTAACATTGAATAACAAACTAATAGTAAACTAATAGTACTATATATGTTAACGTCAAAATTTAGCATCTGATAATGTTGAAATAGTGATTGATTTACTAACATTTTGTGAAGTAGAGGTATGGTGTGGTTATATGCTGGAAGAGAAGTCAGGGTTAGGTAGGAGTTAAAGAAGAGGTTGGGAATACCCACTGTGAGGTGTGTGATGGAGAATAAAGGTATTTTCATTTAGCTTTGAGGATCCAGTTAATAGGTATTGATAGTAGACACAGTAGAATGACTTTTTCTCCAGAGGTGCTTTCCTGCACAGGGTGGTGGAGGGTGACTCAAGGATGAGGGTAGGCAAGATGATTGGGCCCGCCCCACCCCGCCCCTTTGCGGTGGAGTAGAGTGCATAGTAGAACTGGTTTTGATGCAGGTTTAAAACTGAAGAAAGGAAAGTAAGGCAGAAGTTTTGAATAGAGAAGAAGGGAGGAGTTATGGAAAGTGATTGTGTTAACTGGAGGTTGGCTGAAGAAAAGATGTAAGAGGAATAAGGTAAAGGAAGAAATGGTAAGCAAGAGTGTGTGTATCTCTAGGGCTTCTTCTAGTTCTAATAATATAGGAATTTCTGAATTGCAGGTTATAGTTTTTGATGAAATGCATTATTCACAATTGTTAAAAATTAGACCTCCTATGGCAGTGTTGCATTTGGCTTCTGGGAAAAGTTAAATCACTGTCATCCATAATACATGCCTAATGTCATAGTGGATAGACCCCAGGACTTGAAGTCAAGAGGACCTAGGTTCAAATCCCACTTTAGCCCTTTACCAGCTGAGAGTCCTTGGGTATTAAATTCTGTATTTCCTTATAACAATAGCACCTGGCTCTCACTGTTGATTTGAGGGCCAAATGAGATGCCTATAATGTACTTTGCAAACCTTAAAACACTATATACATGTAAGCTATTATTAATCAGGACTTAAAACACACCTAAACCACCAGTGTACTGGCAAGAGAAGCAATGATTATTACATGAGAGCTCTATAGGCCTAAGTGGTCATTGATTGATAAGACAGGTTGAAGTGATTGTAGTCCCTGTATAGCTGCATAGTTTATTTGACAAAGGAGTTCAGATGACAGTGGGCCACTGGGGGAAGGGGGGGGGGAACCTAAGGCGGAGAGCAAAAGAATTCTGACCATCCTATGCTAATGTGCTTCATCTGCAAGGTTAGCCTTTATGGCTGATCTGTGTGTTAGGTATATTTGACAGCTGTTTATTTATTGAGCCCTCCATATATGAATGACCATTTGGCCTGGTAGAGAGGTGATGATTCTGTCTACAGAGCAGCAGTAAGGATCATAAACTGCTACTGTTAAGAGGCTGCCTTTCTACACTATGTGGTGTGATTTGAGGAATACTGCTGAAACAAACCTTCTTTCTTTAAGACTCCAAGCAACTGTTGATTTATCAGTGTGGATACTCTGTCCACTGATACAGATCGTTTCACCACTGTGACTTGTACTTTTAAGCTATGATGACCCTCATAGTCATCATTCTGTGGACGTCCCTAGAGGAGGAAGTTCAGGGAAGCCAAAGGGCATGGAGCTTTATGGGGGGGGTTCAGGATCTCACCAGTGTGTCTGATGATTCCCCATCTCTGATGTTAAAAGCGCAAAGGTAGAAGCCCTGGCTACTGTATAGTAATGGAACTTGGAAGTTTTCAGGTCTAGATGATTCTATAAAAGGAATGTGGAAACAAGGAGGAGGGATTGGGGTCTAAATCGGAGGTAGCTTGTAAGATTCTAGGCCCCCCCCAAAAAAAGCCCACATATTTTTGGGAGACCACCACAACTACTAAATCTGTCTTCCACCTTGATCTCTGTCCTGAGCTACAGGACTGAGTTACCAAGCAATTAGGTAGCAACAGTCTCCTAACTTGTCTTCTTGGATCCAGTCTCTTTGCTTATATACAGAATATTAGACTGGTCAGAGACTTTTCTGTAGTTCATCGTCAGTTAATTAATAAACATTTATTAAGCACTTGTTTTATGACAGGTGCTTTACTAGGGTCTGGGTGTACAAGTAAGATGAATAAAACAATCTCTACCCACAAGGAGCTTACACTCTAATGAGGAAAGCAACAAATATATCAGTCAGTCAACATTTATTAAATGCCTGTCATGTGCCACGCACAGTGCTAAGCCATAGGGATACAAAAAGAGGTAAAAGATAGACCCTGCCCTCAAGGAGTTTACAATCTAATGGAGGGCACAACTTGCAAACAAACACACACACACACACACACACACACACACACACACACACACACACACACACACACACACACACACACACACACACCCCCAAGCCATACACCGGATAAATGGGAAATAATTAAAAGAAGAAAAGCACTGGAATTAAGAGAAATTAGGGAAGGCTTCCTGTAAGAAGATGGGATTTTAGTTGGGACTTAAAGGAAGCCATGGAGGTCAGTAGTTGGAACAGAGGAGGGAGAGCATTCCAGGTATAGGGGACAGCCAGAAAAAAATGCCTGTAGCTGAGAGGCAGGGTGTGTATATGTGGAGTAAATGCAAGGTAATTAATAAATACAAGGTAGTTTTGAAGGGAAGGCACTAGCATTTGGGGGAAATCAGGAAAGGTTTTGTGCAGAACAGGACTTCTTAACCTGGGGTCTATTAAATTATTTAAAAAAAATTTTTTTTGATAACTTTAAATATATTTTAATTTCTTTGTGATGCTCTGAATTTTATTTTATGCTTTTATAAACCTCATTCAAAGAAGGGGGTGTAAGGGCAGCTAGGTGGCACAGTAGGTGAAGCTCCAGCCTTGGAGTCAGGAGGAGCTGAGTTCAAAGGCGGCCTCAGACACTTGACACTTACTAGCTGTGTGACCCTAGGCAAGTCACTTAACCCTGATTGCCTCACCAAAAAAAAAAGTTAAGAAAAAAAAAGAAGGGGGTCTGTAGGCTTCTCACCAGAATGCCAAAGAGATCCGTAACATGGTGTAGATGTCACTTTAGTCTGTTCCTTGAAGAGTTGTATCTTGAAGGAATAGAGGGATTCTGTGAGACACAGACGAAGAGGGAGTGACTTTCTAGACATAAGGAAGGCCTGGAGAGACAGAGGAAGACTGTTTGGATGGCAGATTATTTAGGGATAAGTAAAATTCAGTGAATCAGGTTGTGAAGGGCTTTACAAGCTAAACAGTTTATACTTTATCCTAAAAGGCAATAAGGAGCTAGTGAACTTGATTAGTAGAGGAGTAACATGGTCTAATGCCTGCTAAAGGAAAATAATTTTAGGGGTATTTCGTGAGGAATGGGCTGAAGTAGTAAGAGATTTGAGGCAGGGAGACCAGTTGGGATTGCAGTAATTAAGGCAAGGGGTGATATGGACCCCTGAACCAACATGGTAGCTGTGTGGGTAGAAGGAAGGGGTCAGTTACAAGAGGTAGACATGGCAAGATTTTGGTAATTGATTATCATGTAGGATAAAGGTCAGTTAGGAATCAGGTCAGCAAGCATTTATTAAATGCCCAATATGTGCCAGGCACCATGCTAATAATTAGCATTATCCCAGTCAGTGCTGAGGTTTGTAAAAAACCTGAGAGACTGAAAGAATAGTGGTGCCTTTGACAGAAATGGTGAAGCTTGGAAGAAGGAACCAGAATTCCACCACCTAGCGTCCCAGCTGCTTTCTAGCTTTCCCAGAAATTTTTCATGAATAGTTTATGTTTTCAGGGAATTTCACTGGGCTATTGAATTCCATTGTTTCTGATTCTCTTTTGTCTAGTCTCTTCCATTGATCTACTTTTCTATTTTTAATCAATACCGAATGATTTTGATGTCTGTTGCTTTATGATATAGCTGAGACTATAAATTGGAGAGCAGTTGCTGCTCTGTTGATAGTTTTCTCACTGGAAGTTCCTTACACTAATGAAATGATGAGTTAGATGCAGAAGCAAACAAACGACAACAGCAACAAAAGGCTTAAGAAAGGAGGAGACAAGTAGAGAAAAAGGTTAACAGGGTCAGCCTGAGTATTTCACTGATGAAAACCACTGAATGGTTAAAAAAAAAAAAAGAAACCCTAGAGGAAAACTGCAGTGCAGTCTGGCAAAAATTAGGTTTAAACCAGTATTTTAAATTATATTACACATTAAATTTAAAATGGCTACATGACTAGAATATTAAAGACCATAACACTTTTATTATTTACTTATTTATATTTTTAATTAATTTATTTATTTTTAGTTTTCAACATTCACTTCCACAAGATTTTGAGTTCCAAATTTTCTCCCCATCTCATTCTTCCCCCCACCTCAAGATGGCATGCATTCTGAATACCCCTTCCCCTAATCTGCCCTGCCTTCTATCTCTTCCCCTCCTTCTCTTATCTCCTTCCCCTTCAATTTTACTATAGGGCAGGATAGATTTCTGTACCCCATTTCCTGTATATCTTACTTCCCAGTTGCATGTGAAAACAAATTTTTTTAAACATTTGTTTTTAAAACTTTGGGTTCCAAATTTTCTCCCTTCCTCCCTCCCCACCCACCCTCATTGAGAAGGCAAGCAACTCAATACAAGTTATACATGTGTAGTCATGCAAAACACTTCCATAGTAGTCATATTGTGACATATCATTTTAAAAATGTAGGTAGATGAATTATATATGTGTGTATGTATAATCAAGTATTTCACAATTAAAATTTTTTAACATTCATTTTTTTAAATGTTGGGTTCCAAATTCTCTCCTTCCTGCTCCTCTCCCACCCCTTGAGAAGGCAAGCAATATATCAATTATACATGTGAAATCACAGAAAAGATTTCATATTAGTCATATTACAAAAGAAAGCCCCCCACACACAACAAGAAAAATAAAGAAAGTAAAAAAATGCTTCAGTCTGCACCTAGAGTTCATCAGTTCTCTTTGGAGGTAAATAGCAGGAAATGAATTCTTAAATAAAAGGTAGAGGCAATTACCAAAGATGAAATAGATGGTTTTGATTTCATGAAAATGAAAAGCTTTGCACAAATAAAATTAATGCTTCTAAGAAGAGAAGCGATTGAGTGAGGGGAAAGCTTCGTATCAAATTTCTCAGATAAAGGTTTGGTATTCAAGATATATAAACAACTAACATATAAACAAAATCCATTGCCCATAAGAGACAAGGTCAAATGATGTGAACAAACAATTCTCAAAAGACATGTAAACTATTAATAACAATATGAAAGAATGCACCAAATAATTAATAACTATAGAAGTGCAAATGTGAACAACTTGAGGTTTTGCCTGGAAGGCAGCTAATAGGTAAAGATGGCAGATGGGCATGATGTTGGAGGGTCTGTAGAAAGACAAACACACTAATGCATTGTTGGTGTAGCTGTGAATCGGTATAACCATCCTGAAAAGCAGTTTGAAATTATATAAATAAAGTGATTAAAATATGCATAGCTTTTGACCTAGAGATTACACAGTTAGACTTATACTCCAAAGGGATACTTAACAAAGAAAGTCTCCATATATATGTATGTATGTATATGTATATGTATGTATGTGTGTATATGTATATATATATAAATTTATAGTAGTGCTTTTTATGATAGCAAAGAACTAGATACAAAGAATGGCTAAAAAAAGTTGTGATATAGGAATATAATATTACTGAGCTATAAGAAACTATAAAAATAAAAAAATTCAGACAGGCATGGAAAGATTTATATGAACTGATCCAAAAGGAAGTAAGCAGAACCAGGAAAACAATTTATACAATAACTGCAACAATATAAATGGAAAGAATAGCAACCACAAAAAAACAGTCGAAAATGAATGGTACAAAATAATAAAGAACAAACATGACCTCAAAGAAGAGATGAGATGATAACTCCCTCTCTCTTTTGCGGAGGTGGGAAGTCCAAGAGTATGGCAAATTTACATGTGTAATATTATTTTTAATGAATTGATTGGTTTTGCTAATTTATTTTCTCTTTCTCAGTTAAAAACTTTTTTTTTAAATACAAGGTGGTCCTTTGGGGATTCATAGAGGAAAGTATGCAGAGAGAAATCTAGGTGATATAAAAACAAAAGATATCAATAAAAATCTTATTTTAAAAACAGGTAGAGGAAGGCCTTTAGTACAGCAAGTAGATCTCTTTGGAAGATTTATGAAAGCACGCAGATATTGGTGAGATAGAGCCCTTGAAAAAAAATTCTTTAAATTCATTAGGTAGTCAGACCCTACTGAATTGATTCTTGCCTACCAAACTCACAAATAGAATGTTATTTTATTCATTTACCATGATACTTATAAAGTAGCCCATAATATTTGTGGCCAGTGTGCTCATTTTTTTCACCGAAGTCCTATTTGAAAAATGAACTAAAATTGGGGTGTTAATTAATATTTATAGAATCAGAAAAAGGAAATTGAATGAAATTTCAGAGAAATTGTCATGAAACCATATGACTTTCATCCACGTATGCGTGCATGCATGCGCGCGCGCGCGCGCACACACACACACACACACACACACACACACACACTCTCTCTTTTCTACAATAGACATAAACCTGTCAGGATGACTGATAGGAACATTTTGGGCAGCTGAACTGGAAATATAGTAACACATTTAAGAAATTTGTTTAAAATTAAACTTTTTAATCTTACTTTTTCTGCATTTAAATAATAGACATAAACCAGTTTTCAAACCTTAAAATACAATACTCTCTCCTTCTGATTCTCCTTGCTGATCTTTCTCAGTCTGATTTTTTTTGCTGATTTTTTTTATCAGTGGTATGCCTGCTAACTGAATGTTCCCTGGGGCTTTGTTCTGGATCGATCTCTCTCTCTCTCTCTCTCTCTCTCTCTCTCTCTCTCTCTTCTCTCTCTCTCTCTTTCTCTCATATCTCATGGGGGATCTCATCAGCTTTCAGGGTTTCAGTTATCATCTTAAGCTAGATTACTCCCAGATCTCGAGATCTAGCTGTTAGCTCTCTCCCAAGCTCTAGCCAAGCATGTGCCAGCTGCCTCTTGGCCATGTTAGCCTGAAAGTCCTATTCAGGCTCAGCATGTCCTGATCAGAACTGATCTTTCATCCCAAATCTATTGCCTTTCTGAACTTCTTTCAGTCACCTAGGCCTTTCACTTTGGTGTGCGGCATCCTCGACTCTTTGCTCTCACTTCATATCAGTTGCCAAATCTGGTCACTGCTCCCTTCCTTCCCATTTATACAGCAGCCACCACCCCCACCCTTGTTCAGGCCCTCAGCACTTTTTGTCTGGACTATTGCAATAGCCTTCTACATGGTGGCCCTGCATCAATACTTCCTGCTTCTGTGGGTCACTCACTAGGTCACTTTTTGGGAATTTTTTCACCCTAAGTCTGGCCATAATTCAATATCTTCATTTCTCGTCTCACATAGGAATTCTTTCCAGATGTCTCTCAACTTATGTTTTCATAAACTATATCAAATATGTAACTCACCCAGTTATTTTTAAATTTTTTTTAAATTGTAATAACACCTATAATTTCTTTTGTCCTTCCTTTCTAGTACAATCATGTTTGAAATCAAGAAGATCTGTTGCATTGGAGCAGGTTATGTTGGAGGACCCACATGTAGTGTCATTGCACGTATGTGCCCTGAAATTAAGGTCACAGTTGTTGATGTCAACGAAGCTAGAATCAATGCATGGAATTCTGCCACACTCCCAATTTATGAGGTAAGGTATACTAAAAACACATTTGCTCTTCTGCCCAGAATGTTATTTTCTTGTTGCTTTTGCCAGCCTACTTAACACTTCCCATAGAAATTATCATCTCAAACTATAGTAGAGAATATAGCATCATTTATATGAGCCCACTGATTTGAGAATAATAGTTACTTTTGGTAGATGGTCTTGAAAATTGCTTCATTGGAATTATAGGAATTCTTACTGTTTTGGTGAATTTTCAGATTAAAAAAAACACCTCAATATTTCAAGATATTGAACAGAACTGTGCTTCTCATTTTCAATCCTTTTAATAAAGGATAAGGCCACTCTTTCAGTGTGATCAGGAAGCACAGCAAGAAAGTAAGTGAATATTATAATGTAGTACTTTCTTTGTACATTAATTAGTATAATCTTTTTGCAAAGAAACTCGGTTATTTACAGTGTTTCCATAACCTTCACAGTATCTAGTTATGCTAGATAAGAGATAAATATTATCCCCCAAACTTCTCTGTAGCCTTGCCACTTAATTTTAGGATTGAGAATTGCATGAATCTGTAAAAGAGCGTCCCCAAAGTTCTAACCTTGTTAAGGACTTAGCCTTCACTATGCTGGCTGTTCTGGATTGGATTTTATGTTTTTAAAAATTCCATCTTTTACAGACTGTGAGAAGTGGGTATATAGATGTGATCGTTTGAATTTGGTTCGGGTTTTTTTTTTTGTTTTGGTTTGGTTTTTTGCTATTTTCTAATATCTGTAATGCTGTTTAAAATGCCTCGACTTGATATTATTTGTGTGGTGATAGCTCCATCATTTCTAAATCTTCATTATCTTTGAATTCTTAGCATTTCTGGGGGGAAAAAACTTTAATAATAGTTTTCTAACTGATGACATTTCTACCCAGATCACAAATTACAAAATCATTGTGTAATCTCATAATCTGTATTCTTCTTCTTGTACCTTGAAAAAAATGCTTTTATATATTTAATCAGAGCAAGCAAATACAAATCTATATATGAATGAATAAACAAGCATTTATTAATCATTTACTATGTGCCAGGCACTCTGTTAGGTTCTGGAGATACAAAGAGAAAAGCAAGACAATCCTGGCCATTTATAAGCTTATATTCTTTTATTTGACTAGGCAGTGGGATTAAGTGACTTGCCCAGGGGCACACAGCTAGTGTTATGTGTCTGAGTCCAGATTTGAACTGAGGTCCTCCTGAATCCAGGGCTGGTACGCTATCTGCTGTGCCACCTAGCTGCCCCTATAAGCTTATATTCTGATAATTACAATTGATCTAGAGGAGTAGGGATTACTGATGGGAGTTTTGGTTTGGGGCGTCACAGGCTTGATAAATAGAGGCCATGGGACAAATGGGTCTCATTCTTTGCGGTTACCGAATTATAGCATTCATTTGATACTGTTCTAAGATGGAAGAGGTGGAATGGGGAGTAGAGGTAGGGCAGATGGCAAGATGCCTAGATTACATAGACTAGTTCCTGTTGGGATGTGAACCATGGTCTGTGGCCTGCTGAATATAATGAGATAAGTGAATTTTCACTCAACCATGGGAGGGGAATGGTATGGCAGGAATAGGTGGGCAAGGCCTCTGAGGGTCTAGGTCCAGAAGATTGCTGTTCCTGCTGGGAACAAGGGCTTCAGTAGGGCAGATGACAAGAATCCCTTGTATTTTAGGCCTTGGTTTACTAGTGGATGGGTAGATGAGATGGACTGTTTTCTTGGCACAAGTAGACTTTGTTATGGTGAAGAAGATCAATTAGAAAAAGCAGATCTCTCTTGAAAGTTCCTTTAGACAGCAGATTATTGGAGTTACTCGTCAAGGATAATTACAAATCGCTCTTGCTTGAATAGTGAGGTTAGGCTTGCTTTTAGAACCTAGGCTCTCAGTTATTGAGCTTGGATGTATAAAATCAGACAGAACATTATATGGCATGTGCTTCAAAAACTTTACTTGGCTGACTTTGATGGCTCCATTCTTTTGGACTTCTTTTGTTCCTTTCAGTCTTTAAAATATTCTCACGATGTAATTTTTCAACATTTTAAAAAACTTGCATTTTTTAAAAACCTTACTTCTAAATGTTTTTTCTAGCTCTTTATAATATATGATTTTTTGTTTTTATTTTTAGGCAGTTGGGGTTAAGTGACTTGCCCAAGGCCACACAGCTAGTAAGTGTCAAGTGTTTGGTCTGAGGTCATTATTTGAACTCAGGTCCTCCTGACTTCAGGGCCGGTGCTCTATCCGCTGTGCCACCTAACTGCTCCCAATATGTGATTTTTTTAAAGTTGTGTCTTTTGCTGTGAGCTATCACTTAAAATACTGTTACTATATGTATAAATCTTGCCTTTCATTTTCTTAAACATTGAATTTTCGAGAAAAGATGCCCTATAGTCTGTTGGTTTTGTGCATTGACTGAATATACTTAGTCTTGCAAACCTCATCTTACCTTGTTTTTAAAAATGTCTTCCTCAGGAAATTAACTGAATACAATAGTGTTTTAAAAGTTCCCAGTAAGAAGTATTCGTATCAAGTGGAATCATTTTGGCCCTTGGTTTGGGAGGAAAAAAAGAGTATAAGTAAATATCCTTAGGATGTTTTTTGGCAAAGCTTTTCCCATACCTTGCAACTGGTAAAAAAAAAAAAGGCCTTCTTGAAATAATTTCACAGAGCAAGAAAAATATCAAATCAGAAAGAATATTTTAAAACAAGGCTACATGATGATATCTTATTAAGGAACTAGTTGAAGACCCATTTCTGCTTCTAGAAATAACTTTTTTTAGTTATTTTCTGAAATGACAATTCTCCTAAGATTCCCTTTAGATTAATGCATAAATTTGTTGTGGACTCTTATACAAATTCTCCTTATATAGGTGAGAGATAAGTCATCACATTAAAAATTTCATGGCAAGTCAACTCTAGGCATTTTGGCCTTGGTGAGTTATTGTTTGGGGAAATTTACCTCTTTGGATTTTTCTTTATCCTTGTCCTCATTTGAAAAAAGCATGTAAAAACATTTCTAATAATGTTTTGGATACCTTTATGTTTATAACTGTAATTCTACCATTTAATATATCTCTATGTGTAACGGCAAACAAATTTGTTTTGAGGCTATTATAAGGTCTACAGCTTACATTTTTAATTTGAAAATCACAGCCTCATGTCAAGAAATCATTATTGTGGGGCAGCTAGGTGGCGCAGTGGATAGAGGACTGGCCCTGGAGTCAGGAGGACCTGAGTTAAAATCCAGCCTCGGACACATAACACTCACTAGCTGTGTGACTCTGGGCAAGTCACTTAACACCAATTTCCTCACACACACACACAGAAGAAATCATTATTGCTACACAATGCATGGTTCCCCATAATAGAATTAATATCTAATGAGGATAGTATGGTGGTGGTTGTTCCTAACCTCAGGTTTCTATTATATTGGTAAAGAATTGTCCTATTAAATGTTCTGGAATATTGTGTAGGAGATGACATTATAAGATGGTAATAAGAGATAAAGAAGAAGTTCCTAAGTAAAATAATACTTATTACTCTTCCTTATTGGTTAATCATTTGCTTAATCATCATGAATTTATAATTACCTGCTGTGTACCAGGCAGTGCTGTATGTTAGGGATGAAAGCACAGAGAAGGAAACAACTCCTACTCTTAAGTAGCTTACATTCTAATAGAGGAAGACAACAGACACTTAATTATTTACAGAATCGATAGAAAGGCAATAAATATAAAATAGCCAAAGTCAGGTAATTTGGGAGGAAAGGCATTAGCAGTTGAGGGGAATTACAAAGGCTTATTTGCTATTGTTTCGAATAAAACTATATAAACGGACTTTTAATAGTCCGGGCAATTTGCTTTTCCTTATTTCGCAAAAGGAGAGACAATTCTGTTTGCGTGAAAGCTGTTGTATAAATACTAAGTGCTAATCATAATTATGTAATGAATTTAAAATTGAGAACTTATTATGTTAACCCTTAAAGACTGCTTCTTATAGTTTCCTCTTATATGACCCTCTAATTTTCAAAAAAGTGTTTATGTTAAATGGGGAGAAGAGTCATGTATAGTGGGTAGGACCAACCTGGAAGTCAGACAGACCCAAATTCAAGTCTCATGTCTCTGACACGGTTTAGATGTGTGACCCTAGGCAGGCTCAGCATCTCAGTGGCCCAGTGAGCTTTCTAACACTACAATTACAAATGAGTTACCATTTGATGTTGGTGGAGGAAGTTTCCACACACCAATGAATTTACATATTCAAACAGATTTTTTAAAAAAGTCTAGTTCTTGGAGTGCAGATTTTCTTGTGGGTACAAAAGTTTAATACCTTATAATTACTGTATTTGTGGTACTTTTTTTTTTTCCACTGTTGTTAGACCAACTACAGAACTGCAGTAGGAAAATAAAAATTAGCTTTTTATAAAGCAATTGGAAATAATTTTCCTAAGGTAAAACAGCCCCAGAATTATTAAAAAAAAAATTGAGATGCAGCTGTGTGGCCATTTTGAATTAGTTTTCACTTCACCAACGAGGTGAATTTCCAATTCGTGTTTATGTTGTAGAAATACATCTCCACAAAATTGAGTGAGGAGGAAAATAGTAAGTCTTGTTAGGGTTTAAATTTTATATTGATAGAAATTAAGAAGGCATAAATTGGCTGTTTCATAAGCAACATGTTGGGTCTGAATTATTAGAGAAAAAATATGACGTGTCATGACAGTGCAAAATTGAATGTTGACTTAGAAATACTTTGGTCTTCTGTTTGATTTGGTTGGTATGAGGGACTTTTTAAAAAATAGCTGACTTCTTAAAAAGTCAGGTACACAGCAAACAGTGACACGATTAAAATGAACAGTTTTCCTTTTCTGTTGGAAGTTCATTTTTGTCTTTGTGGCAAAATTCATCTTTGCTTATGAATTTTTTGCTGGCTTATGCAAACATTGATTTAATTTCAGTGTAAACATTTAATTAAGCTTATCTTTTAAGTGCTAAAGTGCAAAAACCAAAGTAAAACATTCACTCCTCTGTGGGAACTTTGATTCTACTGACCTTTGCTTGATATTTATTGTCCTTTTCACAAAATGAAGCAGATTATTGGAAGTGATAGGGAACCGGTACATACTGACTATGGCAAAACTGGTTAAATGGGACTGGGAATCACTATTTAAGGACTAGAACAAAACTGAAGATGCAGCTTTGGCCTGAGAAGACAAGACGAAATATACCTTTCTCCTCTCTTTGGGGTGGGGGAACACGGGACCTGTGGGTGTCAGACAATAATTTCATCACCAGATGTGGTGGAGGTGTTGGTTGTTATGGTTACTCGCTTTTCTTTGTTAAAAGATTAAGGCTGGACTTTTTTCAGTGTATTGACCTGTTGCAGTTATTTTTTTCCCCCTGTTTTTTCTGTTTTTGTATCTTTTAAAAAATACTGTTTGACAAATGAGATAGCTCTCTGGGAGGAGGAGGGAGAGGCATACTATGATAATATCAAAAACAAAAGATGTCAATAAAAACTTATTTCAAAACAAAAAAGAAGGTTGGGGTAGAAGAAGGAGGAAACTTAGTGATATAACCATGATATGAAAACAAAAGGTTTCAAATCATTAATTTTAACCAAAAAGAATCTAGTATTAACTTAGAAGCTTTTGAAGAAAGTAGAATTTTCACTGCTGTGATACCACATCTAGCTAGTTAAGTGCTTTGTTTATAACTTTTTTTTCTCCACCTCCCAGCCAGGACTAAAAGAAGTAGTTGAATCTTGTCGGGGGAAAAATCTCTTTTTTTCTACTGATATTGATGCTGCCATCAAAGATGCTGATCTTGTATTTATTTCTGTAAGTATCTTCTTTTTGCTGTGGGACATGTACTGCTACATTCTGGGTCTTGTATAAAAACTTTAGTAATAAACCAGCTGATGTAATGGCAGCACTTTTAGCCCTGTGATATATTTTGATCTGTTTTCTTGTTCATCCTTTATAATAAGCAGATCATACTCTCAGAAGACATTAGAAAGTCAAAGTAGGAGGGACTTTAGTCCTATAGTTAATTCATCTAGTCCAGCCTCATTTTACATGAGACTGGAGGCATAAGGAAGTCATATCTCCAAAATCCTATGGCAGGGCCAGGATTAAACAGGGTATAATCACTAGTTCCACCCATACCTGGACAAGAATCCCTTCCATGCCCCTGCTGACCAGTGGTCATAAAGCCTTTGCTTTAAAAATCCCTAGTGAGGAAGGCCTTACTAGCTCTGAAGGTGGCCAGTCTGTTACCAAGATTTTTTCCCTTGCATCAGGCCAAAGTCTGCCTCTTTGCAGCTTATAGTAGCATAGCATGTTGGGCATACGGAAGGGTCCTGGAAGCCATCTAGGCTCACAACCCCATTTTATAGATGAGGAAATTGAGGATCAAAGAGCTCACACAGCCTAGTAAGTGTCAGGCAGAATTTGAACCTTGGGCTTTATCTCTATCCATCTGTCATCTCTATCTTCATATCTATCCATCACTCTATCTAGTATGCCACACCTGCTACTTCTACCAGTCATTCCTAGTTCTGTTCTCTGGGGCTAAGAAGAACAAAGCTAATCCCGTTCTTTGACATGACAGCCCTTCACATTCTTGAAAACTTCTATCTCCTCTCTCTCTCTCTCTCTCTCTCTCTCTCTCTCTCTCTCTCTCTCTCTCTCTCTCTCTCTCTCTCTCTCTCTCTCCTCCTCCCTCCCTCCTCCCTCCCTCTCCCTGTCTCCCTCCCTCCCTCCCTCCCTCCCCCTCTCTCCCTCTCTCCCTCTCTCTCTCCCTCTCTCCCCTTCCCTTCTCCCCTATCCCTCTCTCCCCTCGCCCTCCAACCCAAAGTCTTTTCTTCACAAAACTAATCATCTCTGATTCCTTCAAATGGCTCTCATGTAGTATGACCTTGAGGTCCTTCTCCATCCAGATTACCATTTCTTCTGCTTTATCAATGTCCCTTTTGAAATGTGCTACCTAAATTTGAATAGTCACCGTTCTATTATGGTCTCTCTGACATGATTCTCCACATGATCATGAGATCAAACATTTAAATCTTCGGGGTGGGCAGACAAGTTTTAACTTGGAGATTCAGAATCAGAAAGTGCCAATTCATATAAATCTGTGCTGTGGTATTATGGACAGTTTCAGCACTTCTCATTGTTCCTGGTTTCACTCTGGTGGAGGTAGAGGGAAGGTGCTGTTTGGTGTATGCAGTTTGGGACAAGTAGTGAACCAGCAAAACCCAATTTATTATTTTTTAAGAAGATTTTTTGTGCAAAAAAAGGTTTGTTTGAACTTGTTTATTTGAAACTTGAGTGTGTTTTCCCATAGAAATGTTATAAGTGATTGTTAGATTCTAAGGCTAGCCTACAAGAATCTGTTTAGCCCCAAGGTGAAATAACTGTCTCTTAGCAATGGAAGAAGTAGTGGAAACCAGTGTTGCTGTTGCAGTATTGAGAAGGAAGGAAGGAAAAAAATGATTAAAATTTTAAAATTTAATTTGAATTCTGGTTCTTTGATGGAAAAGCAGATTTAATTAGAGTGGGGTAGATGGAGACTTACAGAGATTTCTGAAGTGATTCCAGGGCTGACTTGTTCTTTTTTTTACTACCCCATGCAATCTTTATCCATTCTATCACTGCCTAAATGCAATATTAGTGCAAATTTCCGTTGAATTAATAGAGATGTATAGAGGTTTGAATTGATAGAGATTTATATAGTTACTAAATAAAGTAACTGCTACCTATATCTTCCTCTCTTAACTAGTTAACAGGGTTATTGCATTTATGAAACCTTTTTAAAGATCAGTAACATTTCAGAAGTGCCTATTTTCTTTCCAATTAACCCATACCTTTTCATTAGGTTAACACACCAACAAAAACTTATGGAATGGGAAAAGGTCGGGCAGCTGATCTGAAGTATATAGAAGCTTGTGCTAGACGGATCGTACAGAATTCAAATGGGTACAAAATTGTGACCGAGAAAAGTACCGTCCCAGTCAGGGCAGCAGAAAGTATACGGAGAATATTTGATGCAAATACAAAACCCAACTTGAACTTACAGGTATGAGAAATGGAAAACCTTAGACATTAGTTGGGTGTTCTCATGTGAATATTGTCTCTTACTACTAATAATGAAATAATAATAAGAAGAAAATTAAATCTTAGTTTTAAAACTTTTCCTCTCCTCATTGGGACCTTAGGTGCTTTCCAACCCTGAATTCTTGGCAGAGGGTACAGCAATCAAGGACCTAAAGAGCCCTGATCGGGTGCTGATCGGTGGCGATGAAACCCCTGAGGGGCAGAAAGCTGTCCGTGCCCTGTCTGCTGTCTATGAACACTGGGTTCCCAAAGAAAAGATTCTCACAACCAACACTTGGTCTTCAGAGCTTTCTAAATTGGTTGGTATCTTTTTTTTATAACTGTCAAATTAAATTTAGTACTGCATATTGATCTCTCTTTAAATACTGAAGTATTATGCAGAAACTTTCTGTGCATCATTAAAAGATAATATTTATGAATATAGCATCCTTTTACCTTGGTATAGATTTGTATTACAAAATAATTTTCACCAGGAATATCAGATTGCAAAATATAAAATGTTCCAGACATTTGTTAACAGGAGCATAAAATGCAATTGGGAGTAGATCAAAGTAATGACTGTTGTTGGATGACTTTTCTTTTGCTTTGTTTGTTGTTCATCTTTATTCCCCTTTTACCCAAAATCATTTCCTGCACAAGCCTGTCTCTAAGATGACCCACTCGAGTTGGCTCCATAGGTATTAGCATCCTCCCTACATTACCCTTACCTTAGTGGTTTTGCTTCTCTTCTGTAATACACTCCAAGTGAATTTATAAAATACATTTTTGTTTTATAGTATTCCTTTTTTTTTTTAGGCAGCTAATGCTTTTCTTGCGCAGAGAATCAGCAGCATTAACTCAATCAGTGCCTTGTGTGAAGCCACAGGAGCTGATGTAGAAGAGGTTGCAACAGCCATTGGGATGGATCAGAGAATTGGAAATAAGTTTCTGAAAGCCAGTGTTGGTAAGTAGAAAATATTCTCACAAGGTGTATTGGAAGGGTTTCTGCAAGGCAGGCCAGTAGCTTAAGTTCATACTCGTTTGACTTCAAGTACTTTAGATACTGACTTCAGTATTAAATGTAGTATCATCTTGCCTGGGACTTTCTAGGTGAAACAGTGGCTATTGAGCACTGTACATAAGTATTGACTGGTTAAGTAAGGATGAAGCTATTTCAGCATGTTAGCATTTGTAAGTAGGTGTGAAATACATGAGCAGATGGTTTGGAAACAGATTAAGTATGAAATTGCTTTCTGTGATAAAGTAGCAGTTTAATCCAAACAAGGACCTCAGTTTCTCCTCAATTGTAAAATGATAGCTTTGGGCTAGAAGGTAATCCTTCTACTATAGCCTTCTATGACCAAGTTGCAGGGGGAGAGTCTACTTTCTGTTAACGTTTACTACCAATTTTTGTACCTTTGGCTGGAAAATAGGCTATTAATATTCCTGTGGTTTAGTAAAAATTTGCGTCCATATATAGGTGACTGAAAAATTGAGAGCAGTATTCTTTTTTTTTCCTTTTTTTGGGTGAGGCAGTCGGGGTTAAATGACTTGCCCAGGGTCACACAGCTGGTAAGTTTCACGTGTCTGAGGCCAGATTTGAACTCAGGTCCTCCTGACTCCAAGGCCGGAGCTCTGTCTACTGTGCCACCCTAGGTGCCCCGAGAGCAACATTCTTAAAACTTATGGAACGTTGGTGACCTGTGCCATTTATCTTCCTCTGTAATTTCTCTTCCTCCCCTTATTTCTGGTATAGGAGTCTAATTGTTGCCTAGATGAGAAGTAGTAGAAAAACCACCAATTTTAAATAGATAGTCTTAAGAGTAGCCAAAATAAAACCTAGAAAATATTCTTATTCAAGTATATTGTTAAGTAGATGTGACCCTTACATCTTACATATTTTATTTACAAGGTTGAAATTATTGGTTTAGAATTCTGTTCTGGGGTGAAAATGTTCAGTTCTTTATTGAAATTTTTTTTCCATCAGGCTTTGGTGGGAGCTGTTTCCAGAAAGATGTTTTAAATTTGGTTTATCTCTGTGAAGCTCTGAATTTGCCTGAAGTAGCTCGTTATTGGCAACAGGTATGAATATTTATGATGATCAACAGCTCTGTGATTCTTTTTCATATGAGGCCTGAAACCCTTTAACTCTGAAGTGTGTTTTGATATATTAAGTGCCTCATGAAAACATATGGTTTCACTTATCAGACTTCTAAAATTGTAGCATCTTCTTGTTAACCTTGTTGGAAAATTCTTTACAATTCATCTTTCCTCTTCTAATTTTAAAATTAGACTTGTCCCAGTATTAACTAGTTGCAGTTAATTATGAAAAGTACCTAAAGTCCAAAACTCATGGGTATGTACTTGTGACTGAGTGTGCACAAAATTGTTTATGTTGTTCAGCCATAAGTCGTTTACTTGTGTTTACAGAAGCACCTTGGGGTAGTTGAAAAAGGATTGCCTTAGTTAGAATATGAGTCCTGGCTTTGACACTTCCAGTCAGGCAGGTCACCTTACCTTTCCATAGTTGAGTTTCTTCAGTTTACAAAATGGAGATCATAATATTCTCAATGCCTATCTCTCACAGTTGTGGGGAAAGTGCTTTTTAAACTATAGATCACATTATAAAAGAGACGATTACTGTTATTTCATTTTGTTTCAATAGATCTTCTAAATAGGATATAAATGAGCCCAAGGATTGTGAACCCAATAAGTCATCGAGTAGTCAATCACTAGGGGAATATTTTTTCCCTGAATCTTAAGACTTTTCTTATTTTTTTCTTACTTCTCAGATTTTAGCAAGAGATATAAGATGTAAAAATATATACTTCAGTCTAGATTTTTTTCCATCTAGTCTCACCTAGTCTTTGCAGACCTCAGTAGTTGCAATTTGGAATCCTGGATTGGTCCTTGCCACGCACATCAGATCATCTAGCTCCGAGTCTCCTTTAGAACTTTATCCTCACTTCTCGAGCCTTCAAGGCATGGGATTGTCTTAGAAGTTTAGCATATTAGCAAAAGAAACTCTGCTTGCAATCAAGAATTCCATTTAAGAAACACTTAATGTGTGCCAAGACATTGACTGACAGGTTAGTGGTGGGCAACACAATTGAACAGAAAAAGTACTGTAGGAAATAGTTTTCAGCTAGTAGAAACCAGGAGTCTTTGTGGAGGACTTCACCAGGTAAAGATATTAGAGAGAATGCAGTTATGTTATGGGGAATGGTTTGCATGAATGGACAGTTTGTGTTTTATTCACTAAGAATGGGAAAGCCACTAGAAACTTTTGAGTAGGGAAGTGACCCAGTCACTCCTCTGCACTAGGAAGATTATTTTGAAAGATGAATGCAAGATGATGGAGAGACACATGAAGGTAGAGAAATGAGGGCCTGAAATAGAGTGAGGATAGTGTGAGTATAGAAGGGTATGAGAAAGCCAAAAAGTCACTAAACTGCATTCCATTTTCTGTATAGCAGTACTGCTACAGTACTAGGCATATACCCTGCAGAGATCCATGAAAGTAGTAAAAAAGACACATGTAAAAATTATTCCTTTTGGGGGCGGGGGAGTTAGGCAGTGGGGTTAAGTGACTTGCCCAGGGTCACCCAGCTAGTAAGTGTTATGTGTCTGAGGCCGGATTTGAACTCAGGTCCTCTTGAATCCAGGGCCAGTGCTCTATCCACTGCGCCACCTAGCTGCCCCTAAAAATTATTCTTAGCAGCACTTTTTGTTGTAGCAAATAACTGGAAACTAAGAGTGCGCCCATCATTTGCAGAATGACTAAGTAAATTGTTATATATGAAAATAACGGCATATTTTTGTGCTGTAAGAAATGAAAGGATGGATTCAGAGAAACTTGGGAAGACTTGTATGAACTGATGTAGAGTGAACCAAGCGGAACCAGGAAGAAACTGGAATCCAGAAAAATTAGATAAGTGTCCAGGAGCAGGATTTGAGCCCAGAAACAGAAAATTACCTAATTTGAGGTGTTTGTTCATAAGATTACCTTTATAACATTTAAAACAGTCTCAGCAATAAAACACTGAGATGGAATATTATTGTGCTATAAGAAATGATGAGCAAGATGCTCTCAGAAAAGCGTGATAAGACTTACAGAAGCTGATGCAAAGAGTAACAGCAACGTTGTAAGATTGACTTAATTATTCTCAGCAATACAGTGATCCAAGACATTATGAAAGACTTGCAATGAAAAATGCTGTCCATCCCCAGAGGAAGAACTGATGGTGTCTTGGATACAGATTGAAGCAAACTTTTTTTTAACTTTATTATTCTTGAGATTTTTTTTTGTCTGTTTTCTTTCACAACATGACTAATATGGAAATATGTTTTGCAGGCCTACACATGTATAACCTATATCGAATTGTTTGCCTTCTCCAGAAGGGGTGTGGGGAGGGAGGAAGGGAAAAAATTTAGAACTCAGAGTTTTGAAAAGAATGTTAAAATTTGTTTTTACATGTAATTGGGGGAAAATAAAATATTAAACAGAAAAAAAACACTGAGTAATGAGTCATGTTATCTTTTTTTTACTGTAATTGTGCATATAATAGGTAATAGATATGAATGACTACCAGAGAAGAAGGTTTGCTTCCCGGATTATAGACAGTCTGTTTAATACAGTCACTGATAAGAAGATAGCTATTTTGGGATTTGCATTCAAAAAGGACACTGGAGACACAAGGTATCTGTTCATTAAAATCACGTTCCTTTTTGGAAATATTCTTACTCTTTTAAAAAGAACCTGGCTGTACAGCTCAATATACGTGTACATATGAATTAAAACCTCATATGTTCTCAATAATATTATTTTGAATTTACTGTTTATTAATCTATCTTGTGATTGTAATTATAATTGAATTACTAGAATGATGGCTTATACAGGGTTTTTTTGGTTATAGATGCATATCAGCATCGTTTAGCTTAATTTTCAGATTAAATCTAGTTCATTTAAAGAGCTGCTATTGCAGGTCCCTGTTAACTGAATATTGGTGGTTTTTCCTCAGAGAATCCTCGAGTATCTACATAAGCAAATATTTGATGGATGAAGGAGCACACCTCTATATTTATGATCCTAAAGTACCAAGGGAACAAATAGTTGTCGATCTTTCCCATCCCGGTGTTTCAGAGGATGACCAAGGTCAGTCTTTGATTCTCAGCAATGAACACTTCTTGGGGTCAGCTCAAGATCACATTTATTTTCCTCTAGAAATCCCTTTGATTGATTGATTGAAGCCTAGTTCTTTCCATGAATTAAATTTCTAGGTATTGGATAAGCTTTGAATCAAAGTTAATTTTGTCACTAAAACCAAAACAGTTTACAACATAATGAGTGCTGAAATTGAAATGGATTATAATTTGAGCTTGCAATGTAAGTGCTTACAAAAAAAAAGCGTCACTTCACACAGGAGAAAAATTCTGTTAGTCAACAAATGTTTATTAAGCATCTACTAACCACGGTTTATGATCTACCCTGGTAATTTTAAGGAACTTCTCTCTGCCTTCTTATACCTACTCTTCTCATGTTTTCAGTGACCCGACTGGTGACCATTACAAAGGATCCCTATGAAGCATGTGATGGAGCCCATGCTGTTGTCATTTGTACTGAATGGGATATGTTTAAGGTGAGGTGACATCAACTTAAGAAAGCAAAACAGGGAGGTGCTATGATACCAATTAGAGTTGTGATGGCCACTGTGCATTTTAATGCTTCCTTTGGGGCTTTACAGGAATTGGATTATGAACGTATTCACAAAAAAATGCTGAAGCCAGCCTTTATCTTTGATGGTCGGCGTGTCCTTGATGACCTTCACAATGAGTTACAAACCATTGGCTTCCAGGTAATCTTGATCTTGATTTTTTTTGGGGGGGGGGAAGGTTTTGGGATTTAGGTTTTTTTTCTTTTTCAACATTTTTCCTTTCTCATTTAGTAACACAGTGGTTCTATGTCAGTTTTTCAGAGAGTATTACATGTGTTTTTCCAAGCTATTTCAATCCTTGGTTAAATTTAACAGTAGGAGATAGAACTAAAATGAAGTCAGTGTTGCTTATATACATGGTAGGTAGAATTGTGGTGAGTCCTATGTGGCAGGCACATAGGACTGAAAGTCCCAAAACCTGGGGTTTAATTCAAGCTTCATCACTTAATAGCTTTTTAAACTTGGATAAAAGTCGTTGACTCAGAACTAAATTAGCACTTGGAGTTTCTTTGGAGATCCTCTGTTCCAATGATACCAAACTCATGTAGAAACAAAGGCTACTAAACCATACAAGATGATCTCTGCAGGTTGCATGTTGACTTGGAAAACTACCTATTAACATTATCTGTGTTTATTGTATTTTTCTTTTGTCAGATATTTTCCGACTCCATTTTCTTCTGGTTCAGGCTGCATGTGGGAGCATTGTGGACAACATGAGACCTGTGAGCTGCCAGAGTTAAACTAAGCCTCTGGTGTAGTCTAACAGTTTCTCTGAGCCACCATTTTCTCACCTGTAGATTAATAATAACTTATACTAACATGTCATGTTAAATTTTATAAAGCACTTGCCTTAAACTACCTTCTGTTCTTAATATAACAATATTCTTTTCCCCCAGTTTACAGATGAGGGACCTTATCACAAGTTCATAGATCATAGAATTTAGAACTGGAGAGGATGTTTAGAGTAAAGTCCAATTTCCTTCTCCTTTTGCAAATGAGGAATCTTAAGTTCCTTGCAGTCATTTATTTGTCCCAGGTCATGAAGCTAGAAGGTAGGGGACCTGTTGCCAGATCTGTTCTTCTTTCTTCTACACTGTTTTGAATTTCAGAGGTGTATGCCCAGATGACTTTGCTAGTAAGCCTCAGAGCTAAGATGCACCCCAGAGCTCCTGTCTCCACATCTGGTGTCCTTTTCGATACACTCTAGTGCCTCACAAAGTAGTCATGATACTCCAACGAGGTAATATCCAGGGTCTCCCAAAAACCTCGGTAGCTTAAAACTGCACTAGGATTTTTGGAACACTTTGGGTAGGAAATCACTCTTTAAGCTATAAAGCATGACATAATCTTCTTGTTCCTAAGGAGACCACAATTTCCAGTTATTTTAGTTTCTTCCTCTACCCCATTTAAGAAGGTTTGTGCAGAGGTTTGGCAGTACCTGGGAAAACATTTTTTTTCCAGCCTCTCCCAGTGGTGATTGCCATCATCTGCTTTCCCTATGGGCTGTAGATAGCTACCATCCAAACCACCACTACAAAGCCTGGGCACCCAGTGACTGAAGGCACTCTGTTAGGCAGAAAGTATCCTTGCGTATTTCAGTGCTATGTTAGATGCTAGTAAGGATGTAGTCAGGTGGCACTATGGGACATGAAGTCAAGAGGGAGATTGGGGTTAGCTAGCTGTCCTTCCACCATTATTGTTAAAGGTGTAAAGTTCTTTTAAATGTCACCTTCACATCTGCCATTCATCAGGGTTTTTCCCTGAGATCTGCGTACCTAATTTTCAAAGAGAAAGATTAAGCTTGTTTCAGCAGCTGGTGGGAATGTAATTTGTTAGAACAGAGGATCCTTAATGTCTTGGAATTACCCTTATGGATATTTTTAGGAGTAGGCTTAATGAGGGTGAATTAGGAAAGAGCATATAAACTGAGGAGTATCTCCTATGTCAATTTTCTCAATTTTTTTCACATGGAACTAAAAGAGCAGTTGTAGAAATTTCTTTTTTGTTAGGAGGTGCAAATGTTTGAGAGGGGGATGCTTGTGTATGTGTCCATATAGGAAAAATAAAACTTGGATTTGGTCCAGAAACAGCAAGTGAACATAGAATAAATGAGCTCTTTGCTTATATCAACCCAGACAATTTGAGAAGCTTATTTTGCACTTAGGAAAAATTAAATATTAAATTTTTTTCCTCTTACATTAGGATTTTCTTTTACCATTGCAGTTTCAACAGTTAGAAGTTGTATTTTCCAGTAACTCTGTATCTGCCTTCTTTTTTAGATTGAAACAATTGGCAAGAAGGTATCTTCAAAGAGAATTCCATATGCACCTTCAGGTGAAATTCCGAAGTTTAGTCTACAGGACCCACCAAACAAGAAGCCGAAAGTATAGGCGTTGTCATTTTTGTATTTTAAGTATTGCAGAATCATGAATACCGCATTATGTTAAATAGGAAACCAATGAAGTGTTTTTAAGGAAACAAAACTTATTTTTTTAGTGATTTAAATCAAGTTTTTAAAAGCTACATGATTGGTAGCATACCTAGTCATCTTAAATCTAGAATCTATTTTCTCTATATTTTTATAATATTTTATCAGTTGTTGAATAACCAAATGGAAAATAATCATGATTTTAATGGTATCAGTTTTTGTAAAAATTAAACTTCAGGTCTCTTTAAAATATGTTCATAATTTGTGCTTTGATTTTATATCTTTCTATGTTTTGTTCATCAGTATATTTAAAACAAAATTAAATGTGTTTTGCTGATGACTTAAAATTTTTTATGTTAAATACCAAACTGACTCTTCTTAAACTCTTCAGAAAATGCCATGAAGTGAGCCTAGTTGGGTAGGGTGTGATTGTCAGTGCTGTCTGATGTAAACCATGAACCTCTGATCATAGAGAAAGGTAGTAGAATGGACAGCCTTGGGTCTTTTGTGTTGTCATCTTTATATACATAGAACACATGCTCTCTTGGTTCTTCTGAGTCCTGTACTACCTTCTTCATGGTAATTTTTAAGGTGAAAAATGAATAAAACATTCCTTAACATCTTAACGGGGGGGAGAAGAGAGGGGGAAATAGGGTAGCACATTGAGTTGCATACTTTTGTTCAAAAGAGTCAATCATTTCTCTTTGGTAAGTCAAAATGTGTGAAATGAATTATTAACCTTAAGAGAAAATAAATAAATAGCACGGTCTGTTTGTTCCTCCCTTTCATAATTTTTTGTTGTTAAAATTTTCTTTTTAAAAATCTGAACTTAAACACCCCCCCCAAAAAGCATTTCCATGTACATAGCAGAATACAAAAAAAACCTGTATATGAAACTGTGAATCTTAATTTCAAAACACTTGCTTTTTAAAAATAAATATATAATAAATTCCACACATTGCTTTCAAAACTACCCTGCTTGTCTGTGCTTTCTTCTAAATTTCCTTTTGTCTATTTCTTTGCATTTTAAAGAATGTTCCAGTTGTCACCCCCACCCCCCTGCCTTTTTTTTGCCTTCCTGTTACCATTCCCCACTCCATATAATCAGTTCAAAACCAATCTGCAAGATATCATTTCCAAAAATTGTAGCTGTCTTCCTCCCTTTTAAATCCATCCCTTCTCCATCAAGAGAGAGGCAGGTAACATGCTTCATCATAGACCCTCTGTGGTTGATCATTGGATTGACCAGAGCTTAAACATCTTTTAAAATTGTGCTTATTTAAGTATTGTCTTTGAACAAATTGTTCTGCATTAGTTCATACTACCTAGTATTTCTCTGAAATTGTCTCTTGTCATTTTTTTATACCACAATTTGTTCAGCTGTCTCCCAATCTTTGCTTTTCCATTTTATCCCTTCTTCAGCATCAGAAAGTTTTGTTTTGCTTGTGATTGTTCTGTCTGCAGTATTATACTTCCCCTGAACCCTGCCATCTTTATGTCTGCTTGTTTCCCTGTTGAGTTTAATGTATTCTTTACACTAAACGGTGTGCACGTACATGAGGGTGGGTGTGTTTAATCCTTTGTATGTTTCAGACAAGAGTGAGGTTCATCTGATGCTCTTCCTGCCACCTTTTCCTTCATATTTGTATACTTTTCTCACATCTGACATTCTCTTTTCCCTGTTAAAACTTTTGGAACATTAATAATCTACCTCCAAGTCTTCTGTTTTTCTAATTTAAATTCCCTTCAACCCTTTAAGGACATTAACTTTTCCAAGGAATGCTTGTTTCCTCTCACTCTTAGAATATTGATATGTTGTCATATTGTCTTATTAAGTAAATTTAATTTTAAGTTAAGTAGATTCTTCTTGACTCTTCTATTTGAATTTCAAAGTTGCTGCTTAGTTTCTGGTCTTGGTATCAGAAATATTTGAAAGGCCTCTATTCTGTTAAGGTTCACTTTTTCCCCTGTAAAATTATACTTGGTTCTTGAGGGTAAATTTTTGATTTGTAAAACTCTCTCTTTTACCTATTGGAATATTGTATTCCAAGATCTCTTTCATTCATAGTAAATCCTGCCAGATCTTATGGGATCTTGACTTATTTCCTTGGTACATCCTTCCTTCTAGATACTTGCAGCATTTTTTTTTGTCATGAAAGCTGAATTTTGGCTATGATATTCCTGCAATTTTGCCTTTTGAGGTTTCTTTGATTTTTTTAAAATTCCATTTTATTTTATTTTCAGTTCAGATTTTTTCCCTCCTATCTGCCCCTGCTCCACCCATTATGAAGGCAAGAAAAACAAAACCCATTACAAATATGTATACTCATGAAAACAAATGTTTGTATTAGACACACCAAAAAAAAAAAGGGAATAAGATTATGGCATGCATCAGTTAATCCATCAGCCTGGAAATGGATAGCATGTTTCATCACCAGTGCTTTGGAATTATGGTTGGTTATTGCATTGTTCAGAGTTCCTAAGTCCTTCAGAATTGATTGTCTTTATAATTTTGCTATTATTGCATAAATTGTTCTGGTTGTGTTCACTTTACTTTGCTTCAGTTCATACATGTCTTACCAGGTTTTTCTGAAATAGTCCCCTTCATTTTTTACAGTACCTACCATAATTTGTTCAGCCATTCCTCAGTTGATGGGCATTGCTTCCAATTCTTTGCCATAGGGGTTTCTTTTAGGAAATGGTTGGTGAACTCTTATCTTCACCTTGCCCTTTGGTTTTAAGAGATCTTGACAGTCTTCATTTATTTTTTGATTTAGAGTCTAGGATTTTTTTTTAAATCACGGTTTTTAGGGAGTCTAATGGTTCTTTAAATACTTTACCTGTTTTTTTAGATGTTATTAATATTAGATATTTTGTCATTTCATTTTGTTTTAATCTTTCTGTCTCATGTAGTAATTTATTTCTGTTCGGTCTCTTCTAGTTTTCAAGGAGTCTGTTACTTGGATAATGTTTACTACTATTCCAGTTATTTCAACCTGTCCTTTTATTTCTTTTTTTTTTATCTTTTTTTCCCCTAGAGATTCATGTAGTTCTTATAGTTTTTTCAATGAGTCTGTTATGTTGTTATGTTACTCCCTCTAGAAACCTCCAAAAAAATGTTTATACCGATGTTTTCTTTGATTTATTCATTTCTTGAGGTTTAGTTCCTGAATTGGAGCTTTGTCAGGGCCAGGTTTTGCCCTCTGCTGTACTCGTGGGTGGCATTAGCAGCAATGTTTACTCTCTCCTGTGCTTCTGGACTGACTTATTTATACTCCCACTATTGGGTCCACCTGGATTTTTTAGGTTCAGAGCCTTGGATCATCAGGACTCTCTGTGACATCTTAGGACGGTGATAAGGACACCTGAGCCTTTGGGCTGCCCTGGTGTAATCACTGATCTACCATAGTGGTTGCTTCTGCTCCCTGCATTTCCAGCATCTTTCCTGTCTCCTGTGGGTTGTTCCACAATGCTGGGGATTTTTGATCCCACCACCACCACCACCACCCCTTTCCTCTGAGTTTTCCATTCTCTTGCCTTGGGATGAAGCCCTACAGGTTACATTGGAAGAATGATTCATCTCTGCTTTCACTGAGAGGCCTACTGGCTTGTTTGCATGGCCAATGGCTTTGCTGGGAGTCCTCTTTCTTCTTGCCTATGTGCTTCATAATAACCTTATGCAGTTCTGGGATAAGAATTCACTGTGGCTCTCATTGGATTTCTTTTTTGTTGTTTGGTCTGGTATGAATTGCAGGTTTCTACTGGCCTAGGTAGGTGGGTGGGAACTGGGCAGTGTCTCACCATTCTGGAGACCATCTTGGTGAGAAGAGCTCACTTATTTAATCAACTCAACCCAATCCTTTAATAGCTTATTAGGCACCTACTATGTGCTAAGCACTGACTGTACAGATAATAAAAAGACAGTCCCTGTCCTCAAGATTACAGTCTAAGAGGGGAAGCAACACATACAAGGAATCGGGAAAGCCAAGGGGCAGCGGGGTTGAGGAAACCAGGGGCATTTTGTTCCCAGGAGATGAAAACAAGCTGAGCAGCAGATGCAAAGTGGAGTGAGCTAAGTCTAATTTCTTCCCTCTAAAGGAATGCCTTGGGAGGATTTTGTTACTCCACTCTCCAGCCTGTAATCTGACAGGAAAGATGGCCCGGGGAAACGGTGTTAATCAAAGTGTGACTCAGCAGTCTGGTGTAGAGATCAGAGGTAATAACCTTAATCTGGGAGGGGCATCTTGTTCTGTGGAGTTAAAACCTGGCAGAGCAGCAGATGGCCAGTGGGAATGAGCCCAAAAGATCAGTTACCACCCTCTATAAAGGATTATTGCTGCTTTTCTATTTAATCCTTAAAACCTTCACGTTGTCATTGGTAATAATCAAACTTTTAAAATGCTTTCTTTTTAAAAAAAAAAGTGCTTTATTTATTATTGTGTTTTGCTGAGTGCTCTATGAAATGAATTGAATACCTAAATCAGGCTCAGACAAAGTGATGTTGAAACTGGGAGAAATCACTCCCTTGATTCCTATTAACTGGAAAGGGCTTTGAGGAAGAAATGGGAATTCCAGGGGCTTTGCTGAAGGATGCAATAAAGGGAGGAAACTTTGGAAAACTGATAACCACCAAAGAGCTTCCAGGCATGTTGATGAGTCACTATATGCATAAGCTTCTTATGTGGGAATGGAATAGTTTACCGAAGGGGCGGTGAGAAATCCTTTAGCACTTTCTTTTTTATTAGAAGTCTAAATACAGTTTTAAAAAGGCTGTAGTAAAGGAAAGCTCTGCTGCTAAAGCAGCTTGAATTTAACTTTTGGAAAGGTGTACTTTTACTGTACAATGAGTAAATTCATGTTTTAAATAATTGGAAACGTGAGTGGGGAGTTGGGAGTCTTATAAAGTGACTTTTTTCTACCCCCAATCAAGCATTTGAGGACTTAAACAATCATGTGTTCCTGCCACTTGTAATTATTTATGTCTCTTTAAGCTTAGTCATAAAGATAAAATGATCAGAGGCAGGGAACTTGGGAGCTTTCCTCTGATTTTGTTCTCTAGCCAAAGATTTTAAAGCCTCTGGGACAAGAGTTCTTAACTTGGGATTCATTTGAAAACATTCACCAGACTGCAAGGGGATCCATAACAACAACCACCAAAAAATTAATCTATGCTCTAGGATGAAAAAAAACCTCTAAGGATTTGGATGCTAACTTCCCCTGAATATGTTGGTCGTCTATGCAAATATGTACACCCTGGGAGACCTATCAACTAGAAATATACAAATTCAAAGTGATTTGAAACATCACATTCTATTCAAACTTTTTTCAGCTTAACAAGTAATGACTGATGATGACTGAAGAATAATGTGCTTCCCTATAGGTCTCTTCTGTAAGACTGCGGAAGGCATGACAGCGGCAAGCAAATGGAAGACCCTCTCCAATTGTGAAGCAATTGTGCTCCAATAGCAAAGGGTTGGTCACATAGGGGCAGGAGGATGAGTTGCTAGAGTAGTAAGCGTGAAATATGAAGAAGCAAAAAGGCCTGAGGCAAGAGATGTGTACACCTGCACCAGAGTAGGGTCAGCTATGGAAGCCTTGGTATCGTCTGAGTTCAAAAGGCTAGCCAGGACATGAGGTGACCTTGGGATTTAAAGACCTCTGGTAACAACGAGGTCTGTGCCTGAACAAAGAGCTCATAGAATTTGTCATGCTCAAGATATCATGCATCCTGTATCGTTTTTAGCTTGGGCATGTGATCCCAACCCTGCTGGTTCCTTC